ATGTTCGTACCAAACTGATGCCAGCATGAACAGGCATGTTTTGCTCTATAAGGCCATAACCTATTTTTAGCACAGCTCTCTACGTTATTTTAGATGATTCAGCACTGAAATGTTGCACAGAGACAATCTTTTATTGTTCCAGTGATGAGGATGTGCATGCAGCCGCTCTGCACCCGTACACTTCTTTTCAATTCCTCTCTCAGTCAGCATAGTTCACATAAACACACTGAGCGTCACTCAGCACTCACACATGGCGTGATTAATTATAAAAATATGGTGTTTATCTCAGCAAGACACATACTGCAGCCTCTCTCTCTGAAAACATGACCACTCACACTCCATCATGGAGTCACGCTGCTGTGGTGAGCCACCAGCGACTGGTCTGCGCTGCGAGAGGATCATGAAATGCCCTTTGAAAAGTAATCGGTTCCTCGCGACTGAGCTGTTGTTTGGGGTCAAAAGCTCCAATTTCGGTCACCTCCCGATCACAGTGCACAACAATCAGTCACGTGTCGCCACCACTTGAAACCTTGAGTGCACCCGAGACGACCGGTGAAATGATGATCCTGTCAGAAACTGGAGGACTGGGATGTTTAGGCAAAAAACGATTAGACAAACCCCCCCCTTTCCAGTCGTGTCTCACACACTGAGACAACCCCTCTACGGACATCTCGCAAGCACGGGCTGCAGCACGGTCCCAGATTGTCCCGTGCAGCGTGTCCATGGTGAGAAGAATTAGATTGACCTAATTCACTGGGCCAGTTAGATGTTTGGTCATTGGCTGGCTGAGCTTCAGTTTGATCCTCTGAGCCGAGCTCCAGCAGCTTCTAGCCTCAATAAAATCCTCCTCCGCCTCTGACAGAACTCATCTCTTGGTGAGTTATTAATACCAACAGAGCAGACAGGATGTTATGCACTGATTCTTCAAGCCTCTCATCAACAAAGCAACGAGGGAGTAGAAGAAGGTTGCTTTCTCCCCCTCTGCTCCATCTGTCCCCCCCATGCTGCAACATTAACAAGACCGTCAGGTACTGGACAGCTAAGTTAGGAAACGTGACATCTTCAAACATTTCCTTCTGAAGATTTTGATTTTTAGACACCAAACAGGCTGTAACAAGGCCACGTCTCTGTCTTGTATAATTCATCAATCGGGCAATAGCTTTGACATTGGCACATTAAAAGGGAATATCTTATCTAAGCTCACTACTTATAAATGTGCACAGAGGAAATGACGTGCTTTGGATTTCTCTAGGATATAATCAGTGCTTAATGTCTGAAAAGTAAGGAGGACTGCTCTTTTTTTTTCTTTTGTCGGTCTTTTCAAAACTAGGACTATGAAAAGAAACATTATTGTATGATACCTAACTTGCTTACTGTGTACAGCGCAAACTATAGCAGAACGGAAGTTGCCTTTTATTGATTATTTTATTCAAAAAGTTGAAAGGATTATAGCTTATTCCATTCGGGGAAGCTCACACTTGTTCATCGATTATCAGCTGGTAGGTTCTGACCTAAAGGAGAATTTCAGGCCCATTCTCTGTGAGTCCGGGGTGTTTCCTCCTCTCACACTCCTAAACAGCGAGAGGCCACAAGGTCCAGTAATGCAAGCTGACACCCACTATTTCAACCAACGGAAGAAGATGACGATATTACACAGGTGGTGCATTTTTTAATTTCTCTATTTTGAATAAAGCACTGGTTTTATTCAAAAATAGCTGTTTTTGAAAAGTTTTAATTGTTGTGTCAGCCTTAATTTTATGATTAAGGCTTAAATGGGCGATTGAATAGTTATAATAGGACACTGTAATGTAATCAGTTGGTATTCTTAGCCGCAATGTTGTGTTTTTTATTGTATAATTGTCCATGAAAGCACTATTGAGTCTGATAAAAAGAAAGGCTGTGAGGAGTTTTGATTTTACGATGCAGCTAATTGAGCCTAAGGGGAATATTTCCCACATCGGTCCCTTTGGTACTTCATTAAACATCATTTTGTATTGGCATCCTTAATCTATTCTAATACTGTGCACCATTATTTCCTTCAATAAATCTGATTATTTTTGGTACCTTTTTTACCATTGCTATCCAGAACCTGCCGTCACCTCATAATGATGAGGTGACGGCGGGTTCTGAAGCCAGAACAATTCAGAACCTTTGCTCTCATGCCACCAAAAGAATGTGTGAAATCTGCTAAGATTCTTTTTTCTGCCTCCTCTTTTTCTTTGCGAAAAGTGTAGTGTTTCAAGTTCAGTGCAAAGAACTGAATGATCCAGACGTATTTCTTAATCCTGGCTAATCTAGCAATCATTTATCACTGCTTCAGATTTACTGACTTTAGTGTTGCTTTCTTTGGAGAAATAAAATGTTTAACCATGCAGTTACGGGAAGTTTATTAACTATAAGATTATTTGAGCAGTTCCCTGTCTTTTAATTTCCACTGAGGTTTCAGGATTATAAATGGATAGATTTGCCATCTCTAAGTAGAAATGGGGAAAGATGCTCCTCATCGGAATATTCCGCCTGCTGTTCTTCACTTCAGCTGCGATCTCGTATAATCTGTTGATTTCACACATTTGAAAATACTTTGAGCCTCAGAACATGTGGAAACCGCAGTGGAAAAATCTGATTTACATGTTTCATTTCTCACAGATATGTGACGTCAACATGTCAAAACCAACGCAGGCTTGTTCTCCACATGCAGGACAACCTGTGCTGGAGAACAGGCAGTCGAGACGGCACAAATGACTTACTGGTTTGGACCTCAAGAATGACTCAAATTTGACGGTTAAATCACCACATTAGGCTTATCAAAAGAGCAGACTGGTTTTTGAATGTGAACGGTGGTTAAAGCCCATGAACATGCTGTGGGCGAGAGCTGCTGAAAATGTGACACATAATGACTCTGCTCCACTTAAGATGTTAAAGGGCATGTTAACATTTTGAGTTCATGTTGTTTTTCCTAAAAATGCATCACGTGTCGTTCTTGTTAACCCCGGTAGATTAAACATCCTGGGGTCTTCAAGGTTTGTACACCTAAAAGAGGCAAAAGCGTCTCATTAAATGAGAAAAAAAGCGGTGGTACATTTTTATTTAAGTATTTTTTTTAAGCAATCATAAGTTATGCCAAGCCAGCATCTATTATATTTCCAATATTATGTTTATTGTTATATAAAACCATTAACATGTCTTATAGGGCTAAGCCTCGTAGAAGGCCAAGTTTGATGTGATTATCATGATACTATGCCTCAAATAGCCGGCCATATATCACTGCATCTGCTCCAGAACATTTATGACTGAAGATTAATACCAGTTACAGTTTCATATCCGTCATACTTATCTTTACTAGGAAGTGAAAATCAATATGAGAATTTAACTGAATGCTCAAATATATTCCAGAAGTCCCCAGCACATTAAAATCTGTATCTCTCTTGCTTTATTAACAAAGACGAATAGCTCATGTTTAATTGTTTTGGGATTTGTCTTTTTGAACTTGTTAAAAATCATTATAAAAGGCAAACACTTTGAAGATCAGTTTGTCTTTATGTTAAGAATGAGAATCTAGCAGAGAGAATCTAGTACAAAAAATAAATCCTAGATGGATACGCCATGTGTATTTTCTCCTCACACCTTCACTGTACTCTTCTCTTAAAAATCCACCTCTTTTTCTCACTTTGTCACCCGCACACACACATTTATTCACACTTTTCTCCTCTCCTCACTGTTCCAACACCTCTCTGCAGTTATGATCTTCATGGCACTTCTATAAATCTGCTTCACTGAGCCGAGCAGCCGTTTGCACTTCACCCTGACTTGCAGCTGATGAAGAGATGAAGATTGCTGAGAGATCTCCTGCCTAATAAATGATCAAATACAGATGGACAAAATATCATGATCAAACTAGCATTTTAATCATACGTGTGCATTGTTCGTCAGCTTTTCCTGATGCAACCCTCGTATTTATCCGGGAGAGAATAAATTGCTCTATATATATCTGTAAAAAGGCCCTTTAACAGCTCCTGGAAATATGTAAACAGGCTGGTAAGTTTGGGAAAATGAAGACATGTTTTTGTTTTGTTTTGATTTTGCCATTATTTGGCATCTATTTGGAGCAAATCCATTTACAAAACAGGGAACTGAAACCTTTGAAGCTGCTAGACACGCACTCTCTCACACAGCAGGGGCCAAATAACAGCCCTCTTGAGATGCTCACTCAAACTCTGTCTTGCCTCGGGATTCTGCTTTCATATTTGAATAATCCTATGTAAAAAACAACAACAACAACAAACAAACAGTGTGCACGGCTGACTGATAACGAATTTAATCAATCCATTTACCGGCTAGTGATGTGGCTCATCATGCCTGTAGACAGAGCCATCAGCTGACTTAATGCTTCAGCATACAGCAACTCACACCCGCACATGTGAGGAAGACAAATCAGGACTTGTGAGAACGATTTTGTCTGTGATCAGAGCTCCACCTACAAAGACTGCAGCAGCACCAAGGATAAACACACATTTGGGGGGGGATGTTGCTCCATCAGGCTGCTTTACTCCCTAAGAGGCAGAAACATACTTTCTACAGTCTACTAGCCTGAGAGAAGCCTGTTCAAATGCACATGTTTGCATGGGCAGTAAAAAGGGAGTGCACTCAGACATTGATGATAGACTTCTTTTGTGTACATGCGTGGCCTCCGAGCTGTCTATCTGGACTGCTTCTGGTTGATTTCTTGGTGGGCTGTGAGTGTATGCACTCCACTCTTCACTGGGTGGAAGTCAAAAAGCAATACGAGAGTGAGAGCAAAGGGTGAAAGGATAGGCGGTGAAGGGGACGGCAAGCTGTGCACAAACAGCAGAGAGCTCAAGGACGAGCGAAGTCCTCGTTCATCTGGAGAGCAGCGATGTGGGTGGTTGGATACACAAATAGACTCATGTTTAAATGGATAAGCAAAGGAGGAGAGGAGGAGAACAGACCTGCCTGGTACATATACATTAGCATCTAACCCCCTAGCACATCAGAAGACCGTACCACTCCGTCAGCAGCTCCGGCTCAGTAATCAATCGTAGCCCGTGGACACGCAGATTTGAGAGCCAGAGCCCGGCCGGCATTGTGCGAAGGCGAATCCCCCGCGGGCCAACTCTGCAACATCCCAAAATAAAAACAGGGTTTGATCTCATGCTTTCCTCTTGTCCCAGAAACAAGGTGCTGCGAGGCCCAAGTGGCCAGCGAAGCCCTTTTATCCACATACTGGGCCAGAGTGTGGTGAATAATAAAAAAAAAACACTCCTTCCGCAGTTACTTTATGTTGTATGGACCTTGTTTGGCTTTTCTACCTACTGACAGAAGCAGGTCACCCAGTCAGCTGTGTGGCTACAAACCGGAAACATTCCAACTGAGCCTCAAGTTCAGGGGACACACTCATCAGACAAAAAAAATGTTTGATTAAAAAAAAAAAAAAACTATGTAGCAAGTGAGCTATTTGGATCAGTACATTGATCTTAGAGTATGTCAATATGAAACGATCGGGGGGACACTCAGAGTAACAGCAAATAGCAGGACCAGCAGGAGGAAGGGCTTTGGAGAATGACATGTCCATCAGACTTGTCAGCAGAGAGGAGGAAACCACTCTGACGGGCCTGGGCCTGTTCGGTGAGACCAGCCCTGTCCAGCCCCGGAGTGAGGGGGACACCGCGGGGCTGTGGCGGCCGGACACACCCCCTCCGGGCCGGCCGTGGCACCGAGACACGGTGGTAAACAAACGGGCTCCGGTGAGCCTATTGTGGGTTCCTGCTGCTCATGCTGCTGCCGGTGGAAAGAGCCCCGCCATGGCTGCGCGTAGTAAACACTCCACGGACAGGCCTGCGCCACGCTCCGTGACCGTCCACGGATCAGCCCACGTCCTGATCAAAACCCAGCGAAGACGCAGACGCTGCTCACAAACCCACCCCCCCTCCTCCCCACTACCACCGCTACCCTCCTCCTCTCTCCCAGGCTCCGGATCTCTTACCTTGCTTCACGCATTTGAAGCGGACCGGGTCCTTGCAGTGCTTGACCACCGCCTGCACGTCCCGGGTGGTCAGCCCGGCCACCGGCATGTCGTTGACCTCCAGCAGCAGCTCATCCTGGGCCAGCTTTCCGCTCTGGATCAGCCCCTTCCCCTGCCTCACCTCCCCGAAGTAGGGGAACTGGCCGTTCTCCGCGCCCCCCTTCAGCTCGAACCCCAGCTCGCCCTCCTTCCCGCGGGCTATCACCGCTTCGTGGACTTTGTTGGTCCAGTGGTTTTTCTTCTTGAGGCTCTTCGACATCGTTGAATCGCCGCGGGGAGCCTTCCTTACCGTCTCATCCCAGCCGTCCCCCCACCACCACCCCCCCACCCCGTTTTTTGTGCGACCCCCGGCTGCAGCCCCTCACGCCGCTCCGGGCTCCATCGGCCCCCGGTGCACGCTGAGAGGCAGCGTCCGCTCCGAGAGCCGCTGCGTCGGGCAGAGCTGCGGCACGGCACGGCACGGCACGGCACGGTGGAGGAGAAGAAGAAGAAGAAGAATACACCACTCTGTCACACACACACACACACACAGACACAAGTGAGAGAGAGAGAGACGCAAGACACAGATCCTGGTGGATGACCCGGATGTGAAGCCTGAAGGAGGGGAGAGATGAATGGTTCTGGTTCGGCGTGGAGCGATGGAGAGAGGAGGGGAAAGGAGGCGGGAGGCGCTTCTTTTTTTTTTACTACGCGGCCCGCGGCGCCTCCTCGGGCTGCGGCTCATCACGCTCAGGAGATGACACGGAGGAGGGAGCAACAGTTTTTCAGCGCGTGTCGTCAAACTTCCCGCCACGCCTCTTTATTCCACGTTATATTTAAAGCTCGTGCTCGTTTGGAGGCATTTCTGGAATGCGGACAGATTTGAAACAGAATGTTTGTCACTGACTGAGCATGTGCAGTACTGTATACCTCAGCCCTTTGTGAGAATATTCCCATTAAAAACACACTATAAGCTTTAAATATTGAACGTAGCCAGCTGGATAATGAAGGGCCCCGGGGCCCCAGATGCCTGTGGGGCCCGCAGGTTTCAGCAGGGTCAGGTAATTAGACTGTACATCTATTTAGTTCAGAGCTAAAAGACACCGAGCACAGAATACAATGCAGCTGTTTATAGCAGGAGTGTAAAGGCAATACCAGCATAATACTGAACACCATGTTGTGAGGATAGACGTGATTAAAGCGAATATATCCTTTTTCTGAAATGTTAAGCAGCGGAAAAGTAGAAATTTGAAAATAAATAACTGACACTAACACTATGTTTACACATAATGCTAAAAGAAATGTTAAAAGTTTTATTAAAAGCCCATGCAATTCACTGTAGCTACACCAAAGTAAATTAGAATACATCAATTCTTATTTGTAACTATGCTCCTGAAACAACAATGTTTACTGAGTATTGTAATATTTTGTATTGTAATGCCTTTATGGTAAATTGACTTTTCAAGTCTAAAGAAATGTGATTTTAGGCTGTCACACACATTCACACAGCAGTGGACACATTTACAGAACCTTATGGAGAGTGTCTTAAACATATAAGGCAAGGAATCAACCCTAGCCTTTCGACTGGTAGGTCACCTCTCCCCACCCTGAGCTTCAGACATCAGTAAACTGTCCAACTTTTAAAGTTATCCCAGTCACAGTTACGTAATGACTATGAAGCCCAGTGGAGAATGAGAAATCCTTTTGTAGCCATGACTTTTTTATGGATATGCGGCTTTCTGAAGTAAAGTTTCATTCAATATTTGATGCAAAAGTTATGTGCAACTCATGCAAAACTACTCAGGATTTCAGTCCCTCTCACTGCCACGCTCAGCCTCTGAGTTTGTTTGTGTTTGAATGTTTTAAGAACATGGGTCTGTTTTAGTTTTGCTAGTGTCCTCTTTATGAGACAACAGCACTGTACACGGCCCCCTGAGTTTCTACACAAAGTAAATAATGCACGACGAGCTGTAGACCCACTCGACTTACTCAAGTGTCTTGGCATGTAGGTCATAGCGTGCGTTTGTGAAACTGCGTCTGACACTTATTCTAACTAGACTGGGATGCAGGCTATATCAATTTTGAAGTTTAACCACAATAATCAGAAGAAAAGCGTGTAATCCAAAAAAACTGTCCAGATCTGGGGATTATAGGTCCAGAGCAGAAACAAATCCCATCTTTATTTATGGCTCTGCTGGTAGCTGCAAGAACTACAGTATTATTACGAGTCCTGCAGCCTGAAGTGGAGCGTTCTGCATGGCTGAGGCTCCGCACCCACCTCAGAATCCACTTGTTTTCACTCTAATTCTAATGCTTTGCTAAATTATTAAAGCAGCCCACGCAATCTTCAAAAAGAAGACAGATATGGCACACTGTTTCTTACTTTTTGTTACATCAGCTGTAGTTTTTGGAGATAAATATAAGCCATGTTGTTTTTTCCTGTACTCATAAATCTATATTTGGATAAAAGAATTTCAATATTTTGGACCTTTCCAGGAAGAAGGATACAAAAACAAATAGAAACGCCACCAGCTGTCTCAGCAATTAGAAGGTCTAAATTTAGAGTCACTTTAAACAACTCATTGCCACTTTCAAATGTTCCCTTGACAGGATGCTAAAGGAGAACGCTTTTGTGTGTGCGGATGTCTGCGCGCAAACACTCCAGAGCACTGAGCAGCAGTGCAATCAACTCCTTTGACTTCACTCTCTGGAATCTCTCTGAAAATGTAATTTGTTTTTTTAAAAGCTGCCACATAGATACTCCACTTCCTGCCAAAATATTACCAATCAAGATAGACTTTTCAGTAAACCAAAACTAACTGCAAATGCCCATTGATGCTTGGCTGGCTATGATTTTTGTACAAGGAGAAGAAAGGAGAAAGATAAGGTTCACACTTTATATCATCACGACAGACACAAAGTAAAGAGTATCCTCCAGCACACTGGCAAACAACAGAAGGCAAAAATACAATAACACCAGACAGCCTGTGCACTCAGAGGAGGAATTTCAATAGAGCTTAAATGGATTTAGCTCCTTCATTGAGTCGCTGCTTAGTTTTGTTGTTAGGGAAGAAATGCTAAGTGAGTTGTTTTCATTTCCCAGCAAAGAAAAGGAGGAGTGGGGGTCACCTTCCCTCCGACACAACAGGGTGAGCATCTATTTCTTCTCTACATCGCCCACAGATGCTGAAGAAGGGACCTAGCTGGAGTCAAATGTCTACTGACAGCTACAATGTTTGGAAGTCCTTTCATATTTGAGATGAGACAACAGAGGCCTCTGTGAGAAACCGAGGAGAGTGCTGCTCAGAGACAGCAGTTAAAAGTCTATTTCACTCACACATACAGAATGAGTTAATTAGGCTGAATGGCTTCAGGGAATTGTAGCGTAAATCACACTGGTTTTTTCTCAACGCTCACAATAAGTTTTAATTAGAGAGGGAAACTTGTGATGGCAGCACACACCTGCCCACGACGCAGAGCCACTGCAAACCAAACTAAAGATGGAGGCTATACGAGCCGGGTTCTGATGATGTCATCCCTCACAGACCTGCCGTGGTACTGGGGCCAGCTGCTCGGTCTTATCCAGTACAGTCTCACTCCAAAATATGTAAAAAATTATTTCAAATAAAGCCTCAAATATTGTAATCATAGCACTGTTTCCAAGGTTCAAAAAGTGTACCCATCATTTGCCTTTGAAACCATACCATACCTATAAACAGAATGATCTTTTCTAACGACATTTGTGAATTCTTTTTCCACTGTTCCGCACCACTTTTCCTTGTGGTGCGTTGAGTTTTACTATTTTGATTGCACTATTGAGGTTTGCCACAAGGTCATATGAACATTGCCCCTTACAAAGCGTCAGGAAGCAGAAACTTAGTCATCTCACACAAATAGCTAGTCGACTTCGTGGAGGGAGTTTGTGCAGAATGATTCATCGCAGTTCAACTATTTGAAGCTGCATGAATCATCTTTTTTAGACCGAAGCAGCCGTAATGAATATTTCCGTGTGAGCAGTACGACAATGAGCAGATAAAGACGATCCTGCAGAGGATTACAACCTGATTCCTCAGCTGCAACAAGGGAAGTTGTCACATAATGGCAGCACGGCAGGGCCGGATCTGTACGCATTACATAACGCACCATGTTCCTTTAGGTGTGGTGCTCCTCATCAAAACTTTGCTTAGTGCAGATGAAAAACGTACAATGGTCACATTTGGAGTAACAAAACTTTCATAGATGACCTGAGTTTACCACACACTGATAGTTCTGCTCTTGTTTGGCTTTTGCATTCTATTATAACCGTCTGATTAAATTATATGATATGTTAACCAAGTTTCAATACATCTTTAAAAACATTTGCGTGGGAAAAAAAGCACTCTTTAATTGTAAGATTTGACTTGCCAGAGAAAAAGAAGTCCTGTCTGGATCAAACAAAAGCTCAAATGAAACACACGACGTGTTACATCATTTCCTGATTCATTCAGCATAGAAACGGGCCAGTTCATGACCAGTTCAAGAAAAGATTCAGAGGACAAAAAGATCATTGAAATGGAAAACTTGGATGACTGCTGTTGATCAGAACATTTCTAAGATGGCCGAGATATTTTTAAATTTTGCACACTATTTCTAGCCTGTCAAGTAGAAAACAATTAAAAAAATCAAAGGTAAATTTACTTTGTGAAATCATCTTACTATTGTCAGTTACATTTTGTCTACAGTTCCTGACCGAAGTCCAACCGTGGAAGACCAGTCCACTCTCCCTTATTCTAGAATAATACAGTTGTGTTCCTTCCGTACCTAAACCATAGAGTTTACCACAGTTACTTTCAATACAAGGACACCATTCTTGATATGTTCCCATTTCTTAGTTAATGATGTTTTGACGTGGTGTTAGTTGAAAAGAAGCTTATAACCTTTTTAAAACACTGCTATTGAACTCTTCAGAATAAATATAAGTAGAATACTGAATCCAGTCTGTAACACCACTGTCATCGTCCTCTCTTTGTTCTGCTTTCACACCGGCTCGGGGCTGCAGTCTGCAGGTGTGTCGTTTGATCGTCAGAAGTGTCGTCATCCTCCGTTTCCTCTCTCTCCCAACACTCACACCTTGAATTTGAAGACTTTTGATCTTTGCTGGAAGGGCTTTAGGGATTATCTAAATGACTCTGCAATTAGCTTTTAGATCACACAAAGCCTCCTAAAAATAGTGTCCTCTCAGCTCAAACCTAATCATTGTGCTTGAGCAGTGATGACTGAGCCAAGGCTGTGAGACAGAAATCAGCCTTGGCACTGCTGTGACCCATTTGTGGGCTGTTGGTTGCAATCATCTCTGCATCTTAAATCTATAAAAACCCATAAAGGCTTGGTATGACAGTTGTGGTAATAATCCTATCACTGCCTGTTAGCTAATCCCTGTCATCATCTTGTGAATGATGAAAATGGTTCCTGTTTTAAATCAACTCAGATTAGTAGTCACTCTCCTGTTCTAATTAGAGATTAATTGGCTTTAACACTGGCTCTTTTTCAAAAGATTTCTCATAAAGGCAAATGTTTGTCAGGAACAATCCATATTAATTATATTAAAACCCTGATTAAATTCTGTTATCTGAACCTTTACTTTTGAATGCAGTAACTTCTTTAATCCACCAGGGGGAGATATTTACCAAAATATAAGAACAGAGGCATATGGAATGGGATAAGATTTGAAGACTTTGTGATTTTAAGGATAGAGGTAATAACATACTTTTAACTTCAGAATTAATCAAATATTACAATAATATCCGTGGTTATAACATATTGGTAAGCACATGATTGTGTAATAGCCAGAAGTGCACGATCATCTTGTTTTGAATTAATTTAAAATAAGATGTGCATTCTTTTTCCTGAACTGAATGTTCCTGAAACATCTCTCTACCTTCTTCTGCACCAACTTTTCTGAATTCTTTTTACATAAGCTTATACTTTGTGCCTGAACATTCAAGGTTTCTTTTTGTTGGATGAAGGGAGACACAAAAAAAGATAACACCACATTTGTTGAACACGTTGCCATGGTTCCACCACAACAACTATTTTATTAGCAAAATCATGGAGATTAGTCCACTAATGTCCCCATCCAATGGAAACAGGGGGGGTCCTGGGGGGGAAATGAGGGGGCGATATGCAACTTGAAACCATTACAGATCCTAATCGATAACGGTGCACTTGCACCCCGTCGGCCGTCCGTCTACACACTGAACAGATCTATGCTTGGTCCTACCGTCTGCTACAAGGCCACCATTGCCATCCTCTTCTCAAAGCTTCTCTTTCCTTCATGTTTCACTCAGGAATGTTTGGAGCAGCGCACAACAACGTGCACTCATTTGTGTCCGAGTAGCTTCTATTTGGTCACTTAGAAAAATAAAAACCTTGAAAGAGGATGACAAGCAGAGGAATAAAAGTCCCTTTGTTTTATATTGTGCAAACATCCAAACACGCACGCATACCATCACTCACAAGGGCATTTGGATTCAATCAAAACAAAGCTCTCGCTTCTGACACACATGCAAACCACATTTCCACACAGCTCTCACAGTATGTCAGCGTCAGAGTGAACTGGTCTGCAGAGTGACTTGGTCTTTGTTATTTTTTTCTTTTTTGTACAAGGAGGCAAAATTTTACAAGTAACAAGCCAGAAAAAGATAAACGTATTGATTTGCTGGGTTATTGAATAACAGGATGGCGGCAACTACATCTAAACCTAGATCTGCAAAACAGAAAAACACTGTAACTAAAGGCATGCAAGGGCACGCACGACTACAAAGAAGGACAAAATGATCACTTATCGACAAAAAAGCGCCCCCTTTTTATATTTAAAAAGAAAAAGAAGGAAAATCAAAAATAAAAAGGTAAAACAAGCACATTTTAAAAATAGTGAAAAAAATCCCTGGCCATAGACTTGTACAAATATTTTACACAAAATGTTTTCTCTACACACCGTTTTTTAAAACTTTCAGATTTGAACATAAGTTAATAAAAGTTAAAAGTGACATTCTCAGCAGGGTCCATGAAGTTTCCTCCACTCTGACTCCACTCCAGAAGTCACTTGGTAAGATGACCACCTGGCTGCCTGAACAAAAGGAAGACGACATGATGAGAGAGGCGTGCACACATACACACACGGACACACACGTCCACAGACACGTGCGAGGCGTTGAGCGGGTCTGTGAAGGAGCACTGCCAGTACCTTTAGAAAAGGCCACAGTCCTTCAGGTTGTTCTTGATGATGACATCTGTGACGGCATCGAACACAAACTGCACGTTCTTGGTGTCGGTGGCACACGTGAAATGGGTGTAGATCTCCTTGGTGTCCTTCCTCTTGTTCAGGTCCTCAAACTGGCACTGGATGTACGCTGCTGCCTCCTCATAGGTGTTAGAACCTTAAGAAAAAAAAAAAAAAAAAGATTGTGACTTTTTTCCCCCCACAATGAAAAGGTTTTGAACATTTGGGGGAACCTAGTGATCAGTATGGCAGTTTAAGCCAAGACTCAAACCTAATCCACCCCAAGTAGCTCATCAATAAAGCTGTAAAAAACAAAACAAGACTGTCTCTGAACTGAGGCAACATTTGGTTTAGGCCCTCCTGCCTTCTACGCATCTCACACCATCCGTAACTTTCAGAATAATCAAAGAAGAAAACCATAAGAAAAATGTGAAAGTGTCACAGATGAAAGCACAATCTGCCACGTCACGGGAGGGCTAAATCCCAGAAGTGGAAAATGAACCTTTGATGAATGCGACGGTGAAAACACGGCTGGGGAAACTGCAGAGTTTCCTTAAAGGCTGCAGATGGCGGCCATGTCTCCCATGTTTCTGCTGTGTCGCGATACGACTCAAGAGAGGAGGTGGCGGAGAGAAACGTCAACAAGCGGTTAAGTAAAACAGATCTAATCCCCAGAGGCTACTTGCATCATCGTGTTACGTTAATGACAGCAGAAACTTTGCATGGCAGCTGACGGCCTGCAGTCTGTGATCCCCTGTCACAGAGCGGTCATGGAACAGCGAGCCCACTCCCAAAGCCCACATGAGCCGTGAGCAGCATCCGTCAGCCTGCCTTCGGTCTGTTTGCCTTCCACCACCCAGGCTCTGCTACGCCCACATACAAACCGCACTCAAACGCCGAATTTGGCAACAGCCTTTATTTCCCCTCATGCTGCCGGCCATCAAAGTGAGGACCTGGGTACAACTGTGAAATGAGTAGCAGTAATTACTGCAGCCTGACAAAAGAGCGCCGTTTAAAGACGAGGCGGCCCACACTGTTCAGCACCCAGGAGCATTTAACAATGGCTCTGCGGCCTGTTTACTCCTCCACCTCTGAGCGTCAGACAGGCTGAACCTTTAATAACTATCCGTCAGCCAGAAAATTATCAGCAGGAGCAGAAAGAAGCAAAGAAATCCCAAAGAAAAAAGAAGCACAGTTTGTGTGTTTGTATGAACATTTGTGCTTCCTAATTTGGCCAAAATTAATGAAAATCATACAAATCAGCTTGGTGCTCTCACTTCAAGACACCACATGTAACTCGGCCGGTGGTTTGTCCGCATCGGCCAAACAAAGTGCAGCATTTGCATGAACACCTGCTCGGTTTTTAAGTGCCCGTGACTCACCGGCAAATTCTGGGTAGCAGATTGTCAGAGGGCTCTTTTTGATCTTCTCCTCAAACAAGTCTTTCTTGTTGAGGAAGAGGATGATGGAGGTGTCTGTGAACCACTTGTTGTTGCAGATAGAATCGAACAGCTTCATGCTCTCGTGCATCCGATTCTGAAAGAGGGGGACAGGTGAGCGATGGAAACCGGCCACAGGCTCGGGGGCGGGCAGTTGCTGTAGCGCAGATGCAAAAAGGTCTCACCATCTCCTCGTCCTCGGCCAGCACCAGGTCGTAGTCGCTCAGGGCCACACAGAAGATGATGGCGGTGACGCCCTCAAAACAATGGATCCACTTCTTCCTCTCGGACCTCTGTCCACCCACGTCAAACATTCTGAGATAGCAGAAACAAAAACAATCACCGACCTGCCTCCATCTGGGAATCTGATGTTCAGCTTCATCCAAACTTTATTAGAGGGACCACTATGTGCTGAGACACAAGATCCCTCAATGTTAACATACAGAGGTGTCGTGTGGAGATCCTACAGATCAACAGCATTGGGGAACAACTAATCTGCATTGCACTGCTTGTTTCCTGCGAGCAAACCCTTTACTTTACAGGCCAAACAAACACTTTGGATTTTTGGATCAGAACACAAGAGGCCAACACTGGGCAAGGTCTTAAAAATGATAAATAAATAAAGCAAAACCATCTGTGCTGCTGGACTCACTTGAAGTGGAGGTCTTTGAAAGTGAAATGTGTCTCCACAATACCAGTAGTTTTGACTCTGGTCCTCAACACATCCTGCTGGGTGGGAACATAAGAGGCGTGGGATATCCTGTCCAGGTCGTTTAGGTAACTTTAAGAGGGGAAAACAACAGAACAGAGACAAAAAGAACAGTTTAAAAACACTAAAGTGAGGAATGAGTCCAACTCCTTAGCTTTCCTTTGTTTTACTCACTATGCAGCCGAGTCGTTGAGCTGGTACTCCCGGGAGCGGCTGAAGCAGGCCTGGACGCCTCCGTCTTTCCACAGCCGCTGTATCACTCCAGCCAGCTCGCCGGTCATGAAGCCCTCCTCGGCAGAACCCGCGAGGACGAACAGCTGCCGAGCATCATCCTACAAAGAAATCCATTTTAAAACTACAAGCTCAACAATCTGCAGGTGAATGGAAAATGTTACGGTAAAGCGTCTCCGAGTCTGCTATTGAGCCATGGTGGCCACAGTGAGGGGGTGAATTTAGTCTTTGTCGTGTCAAGAATGTGACAGTGAAACAGGAATGCATGAAGAATGAAAAGGAAACATTAAAAACAATGCAGTAAAATTAGCAAAGCGGAGCAGTGGCTGTGTGCAGTACACGGTGTAAAACCATCACACACGTAGCCACAGTGACACACTGGGAGGTAGGGGCATGGCGAACTGATGGCTTTTAACCCCACGGGAAACTGACGATTATCATAACATTCGATAGAAAAGGCTTCAGTCGCCTAGTTTTAGTGGGAGCTTCTGAGCTTTCCAAGCCATTTAAAAACACCAGCCTGCAGAGTTGTTTACCACATGCCCCAGAAAGGTGTAAAGGTCAAGCTGGTTGTCTGGCTCTCACCGCTCTGGCGTTATCAGCAAAGTCAATCTTGAGGCGCCCCATCGCTCTGATGATGGCAATGATGGACTGGATGGTGTTGCTGTAGACCACGGCCTTGTACTGCTTACACTCCTCCTCTGAGTAGCCAGCCTCATGGATGATTCTGGCAAGCAAGGAGGGAATTTTGTCATTTGAGAGCTTTGTGTGTGGCTCGTTTGGTAACTGAGCTCAGGCCTTCTGAGGACACAATTTAAGAAAAAGATATATTGAATAAATGAAGGTCAAGGGTTTTATTCATGTAGATACTGGACCAAAATTCAGTTCTAAAACTTTAGAGACCACTTGAGGGCAGCAAAAGAAAACTGTGGAGAAACAGTCGTGTTAAAAATGGCTTACAGAATTCTTTGATGAAATTTGGAGAAAGCTTTTCTGGATATTTTCAAGAGGTCTGTGCAGAACATGAGATCCACAACCATCAGATGACAGAATAAAGGTGAAAGTCATTATTCCATCTTCCGCTTTATTTAGCAGCAAGCCAAGTTTGATGATGTTTTGCAACAGACAGTGGCACGTTGTGCACATCTGGATCCTTTTAACAGAAAACAGCTGCAGCTAAAAACACTTTTTAATCATATCATAGGTGCGTGAATCCAGACTCCATCAAAGAAAAATCAAAAGTAGCCTGCAGTGCTTCTTACTACAACTACATAAAAGAACAGCACCCTCATAAAAACAGCCACTGGAGACAGATCTTGTTCTAAAGTGAATTTCTGATTTTTTTTAAACAGACAATGGATGAGTGAGCTCTGGGAGGATTTTAATCACAGCCACGTCCTCACCAGTTTATTACCAGCTATCACAGCCAGGTCACATGATCCGGCATATAAAGACTCCCTCTGTGCAGTTTGAGAAAGTTCAAAACTAAACCGACAATGCTTAGAAACTATATTAAGGGTTTTTACACAAAAGTCTGACTCACTTCATCTGTTTCACGATTGTGCTTTTTCCAGATTCTCCAGCACCTGAAAAACAGATGGAAGAGAAAATCAGATTATATACAATGACTTGAGAGAGCATTACTGTCTGGGCCAAGGAAGCAAAAAATACAAAATGGATCAAAACAATCATGTGAACAGCATAAGAGCCACCTTTCATTACTTCAGCTGCCCAGTAAACATTTGGGGGATTTTCCAGTCAGAAGTAAAAACTTTTAGCTTTACAACTTCATCTGAATGCCTTGGTAACTATGAGTGCTAACCTTTGAAGAAGGGAAATAAATAAAATAAATTAGGGAATAAATAAAAGTAAGGTAGCCAACAGACTTTTTTTTTTAAATGAATGATTTGGCCTTAAAAGAAGCTTCTGTGTTAGCGTGAAGATTACAGAAACCTGAGTCCATTCTTTCGTAGTACACAAATGTACACCCAAATCATAACTCGTCATACCTTAGAGATATCCCCCCCCCCCCAACACCACAGGGCACAATTAACAGCCGCAATATTACGCAGAGCAGAGGTGTCTAAGACCTGGGTCAGCGGAGCCTCAGAGCAATTGGATTAATCAACTGGATCCTCTTGTCAATGAGATTATACACAGTTTACATTTCAAAGTGTTAGTAACTCAGGCCTACTCATGCTCCCTGGACTCAGCTGCATCTGCCAAATAATCTGCCGATTTACGTGGTACCAAAACACAATCCGAGGCCACCATTTCAGCCTTAAAAAAAATTATGTAAATCAATATATAAAGAGGGATACAACTGTTTGTCTCTGACATCCATTTGAATCTGCAATCCAAGTGTTTTAAAAAACTGCCTCGCAAGATGCTCTGCAGCTCCCTCTGAGATCCGGGAGTGTTTTGAGCTGAGCACACAACATTTTAATTATACTGCCTCCTCGGGGACTCGGAGCTCCCAGGTGAGCAGCAATGTTCAGCAATTCATTGTCCCATATGATAAACAGCGGAATACAACAGAGGTAACATTACCAAAAACATCCCTGAGATTTACTGTGCGATCACTGACTCATAGCTCACCAAACAGCTGATATTGAGGCGCCACACAGAAGAAAACTAATGTTTCACGATTGTCTGTAAACCACACACTGTTACACGAGCTGGACGAAAAACCCAATATTACATGAAAACAGGTATGCAGCAACGCTTCAACAATGGCCCTGCGTCTCCTTTCAACTGCCACAATTTGCAGATAGATGCAGATACAGAAAAACCAAACCTTGGTCTGTGTCGGTTGTATTGTGCAACAAACTGACTTAGTGCTCAAAGCACTCTTTGCAAAAAGCGTGTCATTTGCTGATCACCATGTTCCTGCAAACCCCCCCCCGGGTCAGAGGCCTTACAGAGCGGCAAAGCACTGCAAGCACATTTGTCTGCCTAAGAAATAGGCCCAATATCACACATCTAGATGCAAAATACATCTACATATGTTCCCACAAACGATGAATCCACAAAACCAATATCATATCCGATACCTGTGTTTGTGGGTATCATGACAGGCAAAAGGGACGCCCTATGAAAATTCAAATCATCCTCTCAGATGACACAAACAAACACACCGCAGCTTAACAATACTGAGCGACGGTGAAGCTGCACATCAGGAAAGTGGTGCAACAGCAGAGATCTACTAAAAGATACAGAAGAATGCTGCAATATTGGAGATGCCTCTAGACAGCTAACAGGGTTGATCTCAGTGTCTAAATGTGTCAACAGAGTTGACACCGAAAGCATGATGCATGAACCAGGCTGAAATCTCCACTCAAACCATCTATGAAACAAGCAACAGCGTAGAAGGTGTGGCACTTTTCCTAGAAACCGTCCCACATAAGTGTAAGATAGAACATGGGGAGATAATGATTTTTCCAGATCCAGTTTTTATAAATGACAATTGTGTTTTTTCCTCAACGTTTTCATCTTACTACATTTTGAAGGGTTCTGTCACGACACTGATCAATATGTCCCATAATAAGAATACAATACATGCCAAGAGGAGGAGCAGGTAGAAGCTCATAGTCTGACAAGAGAGCAAGCACTGGCTTTTCAGACTTGTTGAACTGCATAGCTGACATCTTCCCGAAGACATTTTTCACGTCTCGTTGAGGCCATGAATTTAAAACGTGCCTTAGCGGCTTGCATTAATCCAACCTGCATGCTACACGAAAAGGCCGGAAATGTGTTAGTTTCCCGTCTCATTTATGTGGTGCAGGAGGCCCGCCACCTAGATATAATAATTATCCTTGTATAACTGGATGCAATATGGCACATTAACGCCACCGATACTGACACACCGCGCTGGTGGACCTGTTGAGAGAACAGCTCGGACATTTTAAGCTTTCCGCTAGCTAACTAATCCAAGCTAGCAGCGAAGCGCTAAACTAGCTAAGCAGCTAATTACCTAAATTAGCTTAGGGACTTAGTGGAGGATAAAAGCAACCCGGGCACGGGTAATCGTAGTAGCGATAACTAATGTTGATAGACATACAGCGCTGGTTTTAATTAGTACGGGATGGTAAAACGATTGGGGCGATTGCAGCTCAAACTTTTGGGCTAACTGCACTACCACCGTTATTCAAATAAAGCCCGAAATGTCTCCATCTCCGCCCGGTTCTCACCAGCGCTACCCATTTATTCAACTTTATGTTTCAACTTCAATTTCAACATTTAAGGAAGAAACTGTTTATTTTGTAACGGTAGATATTATCAAAAACAGGCACAGATAAGTTGTAAACTCTCCCTAGAGCGAACACACAGAGACACACTCCCTCTGTTCATCCATCTTTCTCTCACCGAGCAGGAGCAGCTTGACCTCCCGAGCAGCTTTTTCTCCGTCGTCCCGCAGGTTCCTGTCGATCATTTTGCTCCTCTCCTGCGCCGCCTTGTCGTCCGTGCTCAGAGTACATCCCATCTTCTTCTCTCCTGGCTCCCAGATAAATAAAATAACCACAGCCTAAAATTCAACTTTATCTAAGACTGCAACGACATGCAAGGGCTACCGAGCTAGCATCCAGTGTGAAGGAGGAGGGGGCAGTCGGTGTCTCCAACAGTTGAGATTCAAACACGCCCTAAACTCGAACTCAGTCTTTCGATTAGAAAGCCAAAAGCTCTCAATTGCAGGCGAACCACAAGTCGTGGGTTTAACAATATCGGCTCGCCCTAACTGCGTAAAAACCTTCCACCAAGTCGAGCGGGTGGTGTCACTCGCAGAGAACTGGGTGGAGCAGAAAATTTTAACATCTGTGACGGGGTCTTAAAATGTTTGCTTCCTGGTCTTTTCACATACCTGTGGACTGCGCATGCGTCGACCAGCAACAAGCTTTAAAAATTGGAGGAGGTCGAAATGTTATTCTAAGTTAAAAGTAAATGGGGGAACGATTTTCAAAATGCTTAAGCTTTTAACCGAAAATGTCACAGATTTGAGTCTATCCTGAATATCTGATCGCTTAAAGCATGATAAACGCCATCTCAACCAAAAAATAAAAACATGCTGAAACACAATCTTTTATCTAGTAATAATACAGGCCACTGATTAAATTTTTTACTTTTTATTACGTAAATTGCACGGTTGCAAAATAAATCAATAAAAATACTCAAAATCTTATCAATGATATAGGAAACGAAATCCCGAAACCGCAAAAAACAGCAAATAAGTTGTTGATAAAAATCAAAAAGTTGTGAGAAATGAGTGCTTGTTTTGCTGCCAAGAGCAGTTGCCAGACCAGTTGGGATCGCCTCCTGTTATAACATGCCTGTGTAAATATTTGAGAACATATGTTGTGGTTTCAGGAGTGAAAGGGTTTACCACTGTCATATATCAGATTTTACACATCTCAAGATATCCATTGTCATACCATTTGATTAATTATGAGCCAAAAGTTTATGATGAGGCACAGGTCAGGAGCACACGCAGGTCGAGTCGGTCCAGGACTATTTTATCAGTGAGGCTTGCAGTGGAAATAGATGGAGAATGACCTTTGATAACATCTTGCTGGTATGGGCGTTAGCTGTTGCCTCAAAATAGGTGTTTTTTTAGTAACAGATGCTAATGTACTCTATTAAACCCCTTCACAAAAACTGCCTTTCAAAGTGTGTACTTAAAGATAGCTGTGCCTGCCGTTTGAAAAAGAAATGTATTAATCAACAGCTCTGTTTTTTCTATGCTAATACTAACACATTAGGTAGATCAAATTAGGTGAATATAATTCCCATTTAAACCATGCTGTCAAGGTGGATTTGCTATGCAGGCCACTGTCATGAGCTGCCAAAGCCCCATAATCTGTTTACATAAGATGAAACACTTTGAAATGCTTTAAGACAAATGTATTTGAAGTTCAAAAATGAAGAAATATGTAATGCACATAACAGAAAACTTTAAGTTTAAGCTGTTGATAATGCATGCTCTAGGAATATAATAATTTCTCGCCAATAGCAGAGGGAAACTAGCTTTTGAAATCATGCAAACGTCAAAATAACTAGTAAAGTTGCATCTCCTATGCTTGCCGACAGTGCTCATTAAAAGAGACAGGGTCCGCAACAAACAGCTACACAAATGAAACTGTTGTGAATTAAGGGATGTATTTAGTGATGAATAATTTAAAAGAGTTATGAATATCACTGAATCCTAGAGCGGCAGCTCTGATGGCAAAGGCCTGCTGTGCTGCTGTCGGGTGGTGGAAGGATAAGTCAGTGCTCCCAAATGAGGGTTACACCCTGTGGTTGAGCTTTGCCGGTGACCACATCCATGAATTCAAATGAGCTTGGGAGCTAAAGCACCTGGAATCCACACAACTAAAATAAACAGGGTATGAAAATTTTGTTTTTAAATATGTGAGTGAACATGGCAAACATACTTTGTGAGCCAGTTATTTTAAATGACTGTAATTGCACCTGAGTTTTGTTCAAATACACAGAAAAATGTGCACATCTTCATAGTCAGAATCAAGTTGACCTCATTCGAAATCCTCATATTCACAGATTTATCTGTACATGGGATGGGATAGGGCTGAGGTGTGGTTGGAATTCATCTCCTCACTTTACATATGATTTCTTTTGTAGATGGCCCAAGCATCATGCAAACTAGTGTCATCATTTTTCCACACTCAGTGAACATGGAAAGATTTCTCTTTGCATGCACAGCTCAGATGTAAACTGCAGGAAACCCTTTTTAATAATCATCATCGCAAGTCATGAGTTCAAAGGAGGGTGTGTTCCATTTTTTTTCTGACTGGAGAGGGATGTGTGTAGTTGTTGCTATGACACTGGCACTCCAGTGCACCCCCATGCAGCAGGATATGTTTTGACCCTTTTAAGTGAGTTGAGTGTGAGTTGAACAGTGAGACGACAGAGCAGCTCATCAACACTCTGATTATCCCTTTTCTCCACTGAGATCAGGAGACCTGTTGGTAAGTTGTGTTACACAACCCTTCTTGTTGCTGCTTTAAGAGCTGCAAAACTGTAGATTACTGTTGTTATTCATGATCCAGTACATGATAAGGCCACTGTTAGATTGCAGCAAATATCAAACAACATATATTCTTTTACAATTTACCTGACCAATTGGTCACAATCAATGAAAATTATGCAGAAAAGTGAGTGGCTCTGGGTTTATAATACAGATGTTTTGGAGGTTAAGAAAATCTTAGCCATGAAAAGAGAACCTCTTCTGGAACACTATCCCATTTATTCATTACTGAGTTTGGTCATGACTATTATTCCAAGAAAGAAGGGAACATGTTTTAGTTGCAAATATCAAATAATTAGCTGTAATTACTTGAATCATTACTTTAGCTACAGTCAGCCCTGGAGGTCTCAAAAGCATCACATCATGGGCTAAAAAGGTATTTTTGACACTAGGCACAATAGGTGCATTCAGTACAACAGCATTCATTGCACTAATCTCATCAACCACATTAATCAGGCCTCGTACTCGTGTCTTTTTGCAGCACAGTGATCCTCTCCACAGTAGCTTCACGGCCCTATTGACTCAAAAGTCTGTAAGTGGTCCCTCATAGGGATTAATCAACATTAAAAAGTTAAATCAAGCAATCGAGCCATAGCATAGATTGAGAGGGAATTAATCATCACACTAAAACACAGCACTACAGAATACAATTGAGTTTGTGTGCATCACTTCCCCTCTGGTGTTTTGGTTTAGTTTTCAGTGGGCATTGAAGCTCCAACATACAAAATTCTCACAGGCACCATGAACACAGTGAATTGTCCACACTCTGTGCCTGAGGCAGAAACGGTGTGATGAGCTGACGAAGAGACAGACGTCAGTCCTCCAGGTGGCAGCAGAGTCATGACACAATCACCAGAGGCCATGCGAGCAGGCCGTGTTGCGAGTAAGAGAGGCCACTAAAGAGAGGTTTCATGAGGTGCACCGAGTCCTCATATATCTGTATGCAACCACTGACTTCACGGGCCTTTGCTGTGACTCTCGTGTAGAACAAACCCCTTTTGTCAAAACCTTTCCCAGATAACTGGAGATAACTCAATATCTTGAGTTCATAATGTACATGGAAAATAAGTTGGGAAAAACCTCTGAAGGTGCACCGACTTTACCAGAGTCCGTGTGGCTCGAAATCATAATTGCACCTGGAAACAATGGTGAGTCACAGCTTGTCTTTATCACAAAAGGAGATTAGAGAGTCAAGATTTACTTTAGGATTAAGGGAGACTTCCAGTAAAAATCTATGGATGGTCAGCATTACACTATTAGCACATGATGCAGTGTGTAATTATGTAGAGGTCGTGAGTCAAGAAAAGAACACATTAAATTATACCCTTACTTTTTATCATATAAATTTACATCTTTTCATTGGCCAACGACAAGCAAAAAGCAAAACCGGCTTCTCAGAAGTGTTGGTTTTGTATGTATGACCCTCTTTATTCATATTGCTGCTGGGGCTCAAACCAAATGACCCATTTTTCTTGCTGCCACTGGGCTTTTTCCTCATATAGAGAAGATGAAAAAGCTTCATTGTTAGCTGTTTTTCATTCTTTGTACAACTTCCAGAGAGAACTTCGAAATACATATGTAAAATTTCTTATAGCGGAGAGCTTCTCTGTAAAAAAAAAAATGGATTCCATTCAGGGAAGCTGGTGCCATCAGGAATCTGGTCAAAGGAAAAAGGATAAAAGGGAAAAATATGGCAAAATGTTTGCTTTCGCGAACATACTGTCTTGCAAAATGCCCTAAAGCAGGTCATCCACCGTGGTTTCTTTCTACCCTCCTTTCAACTCTCACTCCTTTCATAAATGTATGGCAGCCTTTCTGTTGGAATTTTGAATTACATCATGTTCGGGACATATTCCATGTAACACATCAAAACTAAACAAAATAATAATAAAACAGCTGATTCTTTTGTACACATACAGCATTTGTGTGCAGAATCCTTTGTATATTGATGTTGTTCAAAGTAATTGCCTGTGGTAGGCTTGAACCAGACACAACCCGAATAAATTATGCATTCAGAGTCAAACACTGAGACTACACAAGCCACTGGCCAGAGGATGCATTAGGACAAGAATTTTCGGCTCTGTTGTTTCTAACGTCAGTGTTTGTAGATGCAACAGCCACCAGATACCTTTTCTTTGTTCAAAGAGGAGAAAGAGAGGGAGCAATATCTGCAGACTTCACTTGTTTTTTTTGTCTCATGAAATCTAAGAGCTTCTGGCAAATAAAAACTACTCCAGACTTTTTCTGCTGTTTTAGATTAAATAGATAAATAATGTAAAGCCAACTGGTTTTTATGGTGAGTAGCTGGTTTTATGAAAGACATTCAAAGGTTTATGAAACATAACTGCTGTTTTCTGTATCACAAACATATCATTTTAGTGGGATGGTTGACTAAGTATTGAGTCAAAATGTTTGGAAGTGTTTGGGATGACTAAATGTATAAACTATACTCTCTTGTCTATACAACTTCTATCTTCCAAGGACAATAGATGACATTCGACTAGTAGATATTTTAAAATAAAATTATATGTATAAGTGTATTTGTTTCCAATCAAAGAATGAAAATTATACCTGAAACACACTTTTGGTATAAACCTGTCCCATCAGTGGAGAAGAACATCCCGATGAAAAAACCTAGATATTCAGTTCATTCACCATTTGTTGTTGCTGAAAATGAGCCTCATCATCTTTAATAATCATTCTACTCCAATTGACTTGGCATTAGGAAAGGTTTTTTTTATGGTAAGCACCAAAATCATAACATACATCGGAAACAGAGAGTAAATGATATTGATATCAGTCTTAAATTGTGAAAGAATGGTTCCCCTCTTGTTAACCCTAACCACGGGAAATGTGACACCAGGAAACTCTAGTTGGGAGGAGCAGTGTGAGACTAAATGTGATTGTACTTTATGGTTTTCAGGCTGTCCTTGGGGTCATCCTGAGTTTTACTGGACAATAATATTTCAATTTTCTCATACTTACAGCGGCGTTTCATACACTGAATTCACTTAGCCGTAAAATCGATAGCGTAGACTAAACAAAGATTGGATGATAATCTGGGAGATGCGTATCCCCCCACATACACATCAAAAGCTCTTCTGTGGGAATACAGTCCGAGCTATAAAGATCAATATTCTATTGATCTGTGCACATGAAAAATGGTGGAACCCCTTGACAACAAGCTCACGACTGACAATGCAGAGATGTAAGTTTCTAAGAACTTTGCATTTAAGGGAATTAATGGCAAAGCAGGATTTGAGTGATCCCACTCTGCAGACTTTAAAATATGGCAAATCCCGTAAACAGAATGGAGCTAATCATGCCTGAATGTTTCACTCTGTATTAAGACGAACTCAAATCTCACTTGTGGACCTCCCATTTCAGTTATGTTTAGCAGATTCCCTTCTCAGGTCTGATGGCATGGTTTGATGGCATGTACCTGGTATCGCGTGCTGTATTGTTTTGTGGAGAGGTACCAAAATCCTCAGTGGTAGCTCCTTCAAAGTAAGGTCACCTACCAACTGGGGCACACTGCGTCATCAGTTTGGTTAAAAGGTCAACAGTCTTAAAGGTTAACGTCCTGCAGCAACATGGAAGCAGGGCGACCATTTTCTTTTGTCCTCGTTTTAATAGAGCTTTACCCTTTTTCATGTAACAACCATTCATAGTTCTTTCCACTCCACTGCCTGCAGCTTTATGATGCAGGAGAGCCAGTGCTCTCCAGGGTCCTGAAACAAACACGTCTCCCTGTCTGTCTCTGTCTGTCTTGGACTCTTGTTTATTCAAACCTACAACCCTAGCTTAAGGGATTCAGCACAACAGTCGCTAATAGCCCCCTCAACCCCTCCCTGCTCGGCCTGTCAGTGTCTGTAATACACAAACACATGCACACTGGTTGCTGTCAGAGGAGGATGGGCATCAACGTCTGGTTACTTTTGGCTTCTCTCTCCCCACCAGTGTGTCGGCAGAGGTGAGAGTAGCATGGACAAAACAAAAACAACTCATCTGAGTCTCTCCCTGCAGACAAGGTAAAGTGACATTTCTCTTTGGATTTCTCCCAAACTAAAGCAGGTAAGAGCACGTTTGTGATATTTTTCCTAATTTATGGAACGACTGTTTAGACAGAGTTTACCGCCTGTCGAAACCCACACAAAAATTATGTCTTTTCCTCAATTTTTAATTTACAAGAATCACCATGGCATTATTGACTAAACTCAAGTCAGATGAGAAGGTTGAAAATTATGCAAAATGAAGTAAGAAACTATAGGACTGGGGTCAAGAAAAAAATGAGAAACAGAAAATACACAGACTGAAAGTTTACTTTTTACATACCTGCTGAACTTCCTGAAGAAGTTTACTTTAATTATGAGGTTTCCATGAGACTGCACTGCAAATGGAAATCTTCATTTAAGCTGCGAGCTGAACGGCTTCAGTGAGCCATCAGCACCACACTCTGCCTCTGGATTCCCTTGTTTCCCTGCTCCCGAGGATTCCCCCTCATTATGATCACCATTTCTGTCTCAGAGGCTAATTTTGAATATACGACTTCCTCCTAAAAGATTGCACACCTGAAAAATTCTTAAAGTTAGCTCTTGTGTGTCCTTTCTTTTTCACGTTCTTCACTGTGTCAAGACCTGGGCTTACCGTCATTTACTCTGTCAGTTTCTTTCTGTGTGGATTTTTTGCCACACTGCCCCGTATATTCATCTTTTTTTCTTTTCTCTGGTTGTTACACTGCTGTGTGAGGCCAAAGCTCAGGCAGATGTGGAATTTCCCACTCGTCGCATTCAGGACACAGTTCTCTGAATTGACAACAAACCTGTTTCCAAAAATATGAGGACCATCTGTTGCCACAAAAATAATTTCCCAACATTTAAATTGCTGTTTTTATAAAAAGTTCAAACACATATTTAATACTCTGTGGCTACTGGTCAGCTGTTCAAACAACTGAAATGTGGATACAGCGCGTTTGTCCTGAGGGTATAAATGTCATGAAATAGTTTTATGAGATATTGATCTTTGACTTGGAGCGTTCAACACTTTGATCTCTACTGTTGTAAAATCTTCATTTTTAAGCAAACATGTGCTTTGTGTGACGTCTGTACTCAGAGATGTGTGTCCACACCCGTTTCCGCCTCTGACCACACAGACTTGTGTTCCTCACGATATGTATTAAAGTCATGCAGACTTTTTAATGGCGGTCTCACCCATTCAGGCGAGTGCCCCCGTATCCTTGAGGCATATTACCGGTACAGCTGTTGCAGACTGCATCTGCTGGATCTAATTACTATGTTTCTGTGCCTGTCAAAGAAATACTGCTTGCCTGTGTGACTCTTTCCAGTTGCCCTGCATACCAATTAGGGAGATCCAGTAATGTAGGTCTTATTAGTGTGAATGGAGAGAAAAAAGTGAGGACGAGCTCATGAGCAGACACCAGTATCCAGATCTGTTTCCAGCCTATGCGCTACATCACACGGAGACGTCACGAGAGTCTGCTTGGCAGCTTGTTGGTTTCTTGTATATGGGACAAATTGGCATACTGTCAGCAGTAGTGCCACCATCCTGACAGAGTTTACGAAGCAGCTGTTGAAGAACATGATGTAATGTTGGCTAGCTCCAGTTAAATAGAGATGATAATCACAGGAAAGCATGAAGCAGAAGCTCTTAAAATGATTGCATATTTGCGGATATTTAATACATTTCCTCCCACGTTTGAAAAATCACAAGCCACAGCTATTGGTTACACTCAAAGCTATTCAGCAGCTGGTACATCACAGTACAGTAAGATTAGGTGGAGAGGGAAGGATGGGTGGTGTTACAGGACGGGGGCCTGTTGTACAATTAATAATGACTTGGATTTATCATGAAGTTAATAGGGCAGTTCAACGGTAAAAATACATCCATGATTTTTTACCACCATTCAATCAAAAATATATATAAGGTTAGGAAAGATGAGATCAACTCCAAAAGGACAAAGAAGCAGATATGATATGAAGAAGGTAAAGAGGCTTTACCTCCGTTTCTTTCCAGAAGATCCTGAACTGGAGGATAGGATAGGAAAGGATAGAAGAGGAAGCATTTGGAGCATTGTTCCTAAGCATTTATAGAAGTTCGTTGGTGCTTGTTATGGCTGCCACTCATGAGCAGAACACTGGGTAATTTACTTCCATTAACAATTACTTAACTGAAAAAGACAATTGACCACAGCCAGGGTCACGTAACCCTTCGTATTAATTTTTTTTTTACACATGTGCACCGTAGTTTGTGGAGGTCATTTAGAGTTTTACATGCAAAATAAATGAGCCTTGTATGAAATACTAGGAATGTAAATAAAAGGGACTTACTTTCAGTAAGTAAAGATAAATCAATTCCCTACCAAAGAATAATTAAGATTGATTTATTTACTTTACTGGACTCTGACTCCAAACCAATTACTAGACTTCCCCTAAATTATTATTACATACAGAGTGGGAATGAATTAGATACTCAAAATAAGATGCACTTACATTTTTGTGTGAACATATTTTGGGTAAGTGTACCAGCAAATGTGATCAAACTCATACACCAACCTTAAGCAGACCCTAAATGACAACATCATGTTGGAGTCTTACAGTAACCTCACGCGATTTGTCGTGATTGTGTCCTGAGATATAAAGCTAAACTAAAGTGTAACGCACACAAACACACCAATTTTTTTTTAATCAGTGACAGAAAAGGCCAAGAATGAGTCTGGGATGAGTAAGTGATAGAGTTAGAGATGCTGTAATGAAGTTTCATGTGACTGTAAGAGCAGGAAGGAACCGTCTCTCAGGTACAGTATGATCTTATCATGTGGCCTAATGGAGTCACTTACAGGGTTTTAGCAGTGAGCAGAAACCCACATGGTCTCTTCTGGTATTGATTTTCTGATCAGAATGCATCAGATAATCACGTTGTCATGCTGCTGCTCTATTACTGATGTTTTCAACCAAACAGAAACTGTAATGATATTCAACAGTGTACATAAGGGCTGACTGCAATTGCTTTGATTATCAGAGGTACTTCTGAACCCTGCGACCTATTAGAAATACAAACGTGCAGGTATGTCTATATGGACAGAACGTATTGTTTTGTGCATGCTTGACCCACAACACCTATCAGTACCGTGGCTGGCTGAGTTTTTAGCGTGGGTGGCCCTAGAGGAAGTTTACTTTCAGTAAAATTGTCTTTCATAACTCAGAGAACAAGCAGTTCCCATGCCAAGAAAAAAAAAGAATCTATTCTCTTCTGTTTTGCTTGTCACAGACTATTCTGTAGCCTGAGAAAATATGTCCTGACTCGGCACCAAAACCACCATTTCAATCAAGGCTTATTTGGAAAAAGTACAAAGGATAGCACAAAGGCATTGTATTCAAAAGTTCCCCAAATCCCCCCTCTCTGGAACTGGCAACCAAGCACAAATTAGATGCTGTCAAAGAACATTTTGTGATTTTCAAGACATGGTTGAAGTTTTTAACGGTCCCTTTGACTGCATGTGCCTTAATTATATGGTCTCATGCAACCTGTGAGGTCAGATTATACAGGCAAAGACACCATTAACACCACCACGTCTAAAAGTCTGTTTCACAAAAAAAGTTGACTTTGTGTAATAAATATGAAACAGTTTTGCTTCTACCGAGGTGTTGGCAGGAGCTGTGCACATACCTGCGGCAGCCTTTCTGTGTCTCATACTTGTCCGTTCTGCTCATCAGCATCATGACACTGGTTTACCAACCGAGACATGCACGCACAATTTGACATCATTGCACACACATTAAGAAAAGAAAATCTTTGCTGTCATCTGTCCAGACATGACTCAAGCCTAAAGCCTATTTGAGAGGGACGTCAGACAGGATGGCGACTCAGAATTCATCTCAGAGCACCAACATCAGCAGAGACAGCGTCTTCTCTGGAAGCCCTTACACCACCGTGGAGATTGTGCTCATCATCCTGGTGGCTGGATCTCTGAGCCTGATCACTGTCATTGGAAACATCCTGGTCATGCTCTCTATAAAGGTTTGGTTTTTCCTATTTTTTTCTTTCTTTTTACCTTTTCATGATTGATGAGTTCGAACAATAATCTTTACACCTTAAGGAGTGCACCTTTACTTAGAGATAAAAGGCAACAAGAGCATCTCTGCGCAGAGGGGTAATCTAATAAAAATGAGGGAACATGCATCACGCCGCACAGAGAAGATTAGCATCTGACAGTCTGCTCTGTGTTCTTTCTCTAAAGGTAAACAGGAACCTGCAGACTATCAACAACTACTTCCTGTTCAGCCTTGCCTGTGCCGACCTCATTATCGGCCTTTGCTCCATGAACCTTTACACCGTCTACATCGTGATCGGCTACTGGCCCTTGGGAGCGGTGGTGTGCGACCTGTGGTTGGCCGTCGACTATGTTGTCAGCAACGCCTCGGTCATGAACCTGCTCATCATCAGTTTCGACCGCTATTTCTGCGTCACCAAGCCACTCAGCTACCCGGTGCGGCGCAGCACCAAGATGGCCGGTCTGATGATTGCAGCTGCCTGGGTCCTGTCCTTCATCCTGTGGGCCCCCGCCATTTTGTTCTGGCAGTTCATCGTGGGCGGAAGAACCGTGCCACAGAATGAGTGCTACATCCAGTTCTTCTCCAACCCGGCTGTGACCTTTGGCACAGCCATCGCGGCTTTTTACCTGCCGGTGGCCATCATGATCCACCTGTACTGGCACATCTCCAAGGCCAGCCGCAGCCGCGTGAGGAAGGACAGCAGGAAGACCTCAGGCACCAGTCTGGCAGAAGCCCCCTCCAACAGCCAGGAGGAAGGCTGCGAGAGCAACTGCGTCACTACGAAGCACGCACAGGGAGACGTCGGAGACGGGAGGGAAAAGGAGGCCTGGCAGCCGCAGCAAAACGGCTGCGGTCCAATTAAGGAGGAGGAAGAAGAAGAAGCAGGCCGGATCGATTCCACATCAGACATTGTCCAAGCGTCAACATCTAAAGACTCTTCGGGCCCTGCCGCATCCCGGAAGAGGTCAAATAATGGGAAGACTCTAACACAGCCCCCTTCCCCACAGAACTCAGCTGTTGACAGACAAAGCATGGTTGCCAGGACTCTTCTGATGGTGAGTTTGAGTCTGACGGTGTAAAGATTTCAGTAGTATATACATGACCAAAAAACACCAACTCTCACAAAACATGAGTTGAAATTAAAAGCTATCAGCATTTAAAGATATGACGGGATGGCAATACCATGCGAATACATCTGATTAAACTAATTATAATTCGTTATAAAAGTTTGTCTAAACAATTAGGAAATCTTAAATCAAATCACAATGACTTTAATGATCATTTTTGCATTGCCAACACCATCAGGTAATCATTTATATTTGTGAGCAAAATTCCACACACTTGACGCTGCCTCTGTGGGGCAAAATGGAAGGGGAATATAGATATTTTCACCATCAAAAACAACTCATACCATATCTTACAGTGCTTTCGGTCACTGATATTGTGACTGTAAATTGATGGGAACCAACACGACAAATCCCCCCATCCCAAGTTAATTCACAACTTATTTAGATTTTTATGCTGTTTTATAAGTACATTTTGAAAGAAAGACTGCGGTTGTGATGAAACAGAGATAAAGGGGATTAAGAGTTTTAATCACCAGAACTTAGATTGAGTTAGCTTCCTGGCGTCTGGGGACAGGCATAATAAAATATAGTGTCCGCTCGGGTCCATAATCAGTCTTGACTTCACTTCTGCTAGATGTACATCACCTTCAACAAAGGATGTAGATAACTTTGTTACATTTTCTTTCAGTCTCTAACAAATGGGAGTTAGATTAATGTAGGACCAAGTAACCTCCTGGAGTCAGGACTTACAGTCTGCAGTCTTACAGACATAGTGAAATGATCCACTTTTTTAGACAAAAGTGATTCCCAAAAGCCATCCGGGCCCATTGTTCACCACCTTAAACGGTGCACGGTGGCTGAACCAGAATGTTAATATCCTACATGCATCCTTGTTTAATCTCCCTCCGTAATTTATATTGCAATTAATCTTTTTTCTTTAATTTTTTATCAAATATAACTGTAATAAGTGTATTATAGACTCAAAAATGTGTGATGAATGAATCAGTTGTTCCAACAATGAGTCTAACAGAGGGAGCGCTTATTGAACCAAGTAACCAAGTAAACCAAGTAAAATACTGGAGTCAAGATAATATATAAAAGTGTAGATAACTTTTTTCTTAGTCAGAATTTTAAGATGGACAGCTATGACTGATTTTAATAATTTGATCTGAGCTTTCTGGGTGAAACGATTTTAATGACTGCCAAGATTAGAACCAAGTGGTTAAGTATGTCTTATTCGGCATGTTTTGATTTTAGGAAGTTTTCCACCTATCCATGATTTTATGTTACAAAGTCAAGCTGAGAGTTCAGACATTTCTCTAGTATCTGTGAGTTTTAGAGACGTATAGAACTGAGCATCATCAGCGTGAAAAAAAGCAATGTACGTCATGGTCAGAACGCAGGTGCTCAGCTCTGTGGTGCTCTACAAGTCAGCTGTGCTCATTTTCCAGGTCACAAAGCGTACGGTGAGCGAGAACGTGGTGGCAAAGTGGAGAAGGAAAGGCAATTCTTCCAGGGAGAGAAAAGTGACGCGCACCATCATGGCAATACTGGTCGCTTTTGTTGCCACGTGGACGCCGTACAATGTGATGGTCCTGATCAACACCTTCTGTTCCATCTGCATCCCCAACACTCTCTGGACCATCGGGTACTGGCTCTGCTACATCAACAGCACCGTCAACCCGGCCTGCTACGCCCTCTGCAACACCACCTTCAAAAACACCTTCAAGCACCTGCTGCTTTGCCAGTACAAGAATATTCGTGGACGATAAAACGCGAGCACTATCTCTGGTGACGGAATCAAAACAATGTGATCTACCCTGTAGAAAAGAATAGTATTGAAAACATGTGAAAGATAGGTTGGATTTGTTCTTCTCGTGCACTTACTCCATTTCTTTTAAAGCGAAAGACCTTTTTCCCCTCCACTAAAAGAACATGTGTTGTTTTATTTGTAACTCAAGATTCATTTTGAATCATTTCAATAAACTCCGAAGACATAAACTGAACTTTGATTGATGTGATAAAGTATTCAAGAGTTTTACTTATGGATTACTTACGTCCTTGCTTACATCACAGGAGCTTGTACAGTCCAGTGTTTAAGGTTGTTGTGAATGTGGTGTAGAAGTGTAACATACTATATATGAATAGGCTGATATACTGGAAATACAGTGTTAATGATACTGCATTAACTAAAGCATTAGAGCCAACACTAAGCTGTAAAATAGGAAGAATACACCATATCTGTCCAAATGAAACCTTGTCTTCAAAATTCACATAGTGAAAATGGAACTAATCGCTGCATACTGATGTGTCTGAGTGTGTTTGTGTGCATGCATGTCTCCTCTCCAGCTAGATTCACGTGAGCTGTCATCTGACATTGATGTTGTGTGTATTCTGTGATTTAGTGAAAGTAATCTAAATGTGATTTTTGCCTATATCGTCACTTGTCTACATGTTTTTCGCTAATAAAAAGAGAATAATCTGACATGTTGTCTATATTTCATCTTAATGACATGTAAGTTACTCATTTATCTTCAATATGTTCAGGGCTTGGCTACCAAAACTGGCATTTATACACTACAAGTAAGAGTTTCTAAATGAACTTATGTCCCTGCACTCCTTTTGAACAGGATGCCACAAACATCCCTGACAATATGGGAGAAAATAATAGGTATTTTCAGCTCTAGTGTCCACACAACCATTGTGCCCTCTGCTGGTTAAAATGACATGTTCATTGTCTGCAATCTGGACACTGAGATGTGGAAATAATTCGCTCTGTTGCAACATGCAGTTGTTAAACATTTCAGATCCGGGCCTGTTTGCCTTTTCTTCATATCATTCACTTCTCTTTTTAACCAGTAACTTTCAAATAAAGACAGCTTAAACACAAAAAGTCAATCATTTTCAGCTCTTTATATGATTTGATGTTTTGCTTCTTTGCATGTAGTACCATTTAATATCTTTCAAAAACAGCCCCCCGCTTTTTCAAGGAAGGGGTCAGCTCTCCCAGGCTGGAAGGAAAGTATCAGTGTACACCGCGTCCATATTTCTTTCCATCCGGAGGAGTAAATTTAGTCTCACAGATCACCAGATTTGAGCTCTCAAAATTAAAAACTTATTCAGCTGATTTTCAGTCCACCAGCAGACTTTCCTGCCCCTGCAGACCAAAAATGTAACATCCTTGTCTGTTGGGTCGTAAAAAAAATATGAAGGGTATTTTAGGCCTAAGTATGATCGTTTTCTGACCTAATGAAGTCGTTTTAATTTTCTAACTCTAACCAAGCGAGGTAATGGGTTATTGATTGACCATAAGTTAGAAATAACAGCTTTCATGTGCTCTCTCAAACACTTGAACCACAGTTGAAAGTGAATTAATGATTAAGACCACTGAACTTTACTGCATCACCCTGCCCTTCATGCTGACCTCATAAGGACTTTGTGGCCAAAGGAAGTACTCAAGTGTGCTGGAACACTCATAAGTTTTGTGTAAAGGATGAAATGCCAGAAACTGAATAGATGTCTAAGCCAGTCTTCCCAAAGAAATAAAAGGCATAGTTCCCACAGGGAAATTATGAATTATAAATCAAGTTGCGGAGACTGAGTAAACAAGAAATTGTGATAAAAGGACTCTCTTTATATGGCTGATGATGATGTTAAAAACTGCTACAATGTCACTGTGGTATTTTGGAGACTCCAAAGGTCAAGCAGCAACAAGAGCTTATTTTGGAAGTTTACAGACTTTGAAAAGTCATAAGAGCAATAGCCAACCCATTTGTAGCCCATGCACGGTTTTCTTATATAAAATTCTAATGTCAGCAGAAAAGCATTCATGGCACTGATGATGGCTCAACGGGGACTTAAATATTAAGCTTTCCTTTTCAGACAGTTTTCATTTGTTGCATTTTGTCAGGAAAAGCTTGACAATTTTCAACAAAACAAGCTAAACCTGAAATCTGATGACATCCATGGTGTATTTATCATTTATTAGTGCACGTGAAATCAACTTCTGGACTATTCTGGACCTGTCGTTTAATTTAGTATGTAGTCAACATGGAGCCACTATTGATACTTTTGGAGTTTAATGTAAATAGTCATACCTGTATGTTTACAATGCAGACCCCCCTTTGTGTCGCAATGGTGTCTCTTGATCTTATTGTAAATTGAGTCATTCCGTGTTATTAGCAGCAACAAGAAATTTCCTCATCAGGACAGATGATCAGAGCTCTTCTTTTTTATATTGGGTGATCCTTTATAATGGACATTTCTCCTTGGCTAAATTACATGCATTTACAAGTTTCTCTTTTATCATTGACAAAAACAGTCCTCCACTGTTATTTACCCTGTACACAAAGCATCCAGATCTAATTATCTGCTTTACATTTAGTCAAAGTAACCCCAGAACGGGTGCTGTTTGGAGTCAACACACGCCTCACCGGAGGGGAGGATGCATGTGGGCAGACACACCTGAGCAGGGATCTTGTTCACTTCATTAGCGGCTAACAGACCAGTGATGGCGGAGGAAAAAAGGCAGATAGGAGACTCATGGGAGGACCTGACTATACCTGACATCAGCCCAGAACCATATGTAAAAGTTGGAGCTGAGCCGAATGATGGGGCAGAAGAAGAAAGCTCCTCAGACAAGGTGGAGAAATGTAGCCCAAACCTCCTCCAAATGCTGAGGGCTGCTGAGAGCAGATGGCCGACTCAGAGTAAGGACAGAGACAAGACAGAGGGATCTGAGACCAGGGAGATGATTACTGAGGCTCTGAAAACTAACATGGTAAGCACGGAAACCATTTAGTACTCAGGATTGTAGACAGCACAGCTTTCCACACGGAGCACGAAAGTGCATCTACTCGGGCTGTTAATGATTTTGATTGCAAGCTGCAGGCCTCTATAAATGTTTGACCCGATGCTACACTTTATGAGCTTCACTCCTCTGCTTACCTTAAAAAAAAAAAAAGTAAAGGCTGTCCTTTGGCAAATTTGTTTTTTTGTTAAGTTTTATACACTGAATAAAAATATTCTTAGACTTTGTCATTGTAAACAAAAACATTATAAGTCACAGTTGAAATCAAAATGGTCAAAAATGGTTGTGTATTTCTGTCCACTAAAGAAAAAAAAGCCGAGTTGTCTATTAAATGCTGAAGATATCTTTTTTTTTGTAAAGAGCAACCCCTACTCTGGATTTATTTCTCATCCATCACAAAGTGACAGTGCTGCCGGACTGTGATCCTACTGCAAAATGCAAGCTTTCAAAAAGGGTTACGCTCAGCATCGAGCACAATGAGAGACAAATCCCCACACTGTCCATTTCCTAAAACACAACATGATAGCATAGTATATTTGATCAGTCCTGCCTGGTTGAAAAAGTGTCAGTGAGGCCGACTGGCTCTCTGAATTAAGATCTACAAGTAAAAAGTGCCCCTGAGTCCCTGAATGACACCAAAGGTCGGTGTTTTTTTCACTTGGCTGGTTCCTCTCTTGCTCGTCTTTCTTTCTCACTTACACTTCCTGTCACGAATGCACGTTGAAGCACGAGCGTCTCTCCTCTGTAACTTTCATTTACAGCCTGAGGGCAGCGAGCCCTTTGCCTATTATGAACTCATTCATCTGTGGCCTTGTGCAACCTTGCTTGAGTTCAACGCTTTCTTCATCTTTAGACGTCTCCTTTCTATAACCCTGAGAATTCCCAGCTGCAAAACCTACAAAGACTCCATTATTCATTATTCACACGGCTTTTTGTCACCTGTCGGGTGAGGGCGTGGCATAAAGTGTCACTCTCTGAATGGTTTAACAGCATCAGCTTGTAGCTCGGCAGGGTTCTTGAGTATCTCGGTTGGATATCTCTGCCAGCATGAAGAAATTGTACAGTCTGGTGAATGTGACTAAATCCGAGGACCAGGAGACGGTGAAGTCCATCTGTATCAAGGTATCACAGCCTTATTTCTTTTCTTCTCTTTTAAGAGCGTCAGATTTGAGTAATCAGCCATTTAAATGCATATTTTTTGAGAGAAAAAAGCCATTGTTGAAGAAGAGTGCGGGTGATGTGAGGAATTGCTGGCAAATCAGTGCATAAAAAGTTCACAAAGAGGACTTTGTCTTGAGGCCTAACACACACACGCACACACACATGTATAAGCTTTCGCTGGACTTTATTCACAGTAGCTGATCTGGATTGAACCTTCTGTTCTGTTAACTTTCACACAGCTCTAATGTTCTTCTGTGCTAAAGATTAAGCAGCTGTTTGTGACTGATTGCAGTCAAATCATTCAGAAGAACAAATCTCTGTTAAATGTTTTAACAAGTACCAGTGCATTTGGAATTAAGCTTTATTCATTAGTGCAGCTTTATAGTCTTTTAAAATATTCTGCTTTTATTTAATAGATTTGAACAGGTTGTCAAAGAGATTCAATTTAGTATTCTTGTAAAAACTAAGCAGTAAAAGTGAAGCATGTTTGAAGGGGCACCAAACAAATTACCTTTGTTGTGTGTTTCCCAGAGAGTTGTGTTTGTTTTGTGTGGTTTCAGGCAATGAAAAGCCACCTCTTTGCTACTCGAGCAAAACTCATTTCACTCTCCAGGTGATATTTAATTCACACATTGCTAATATTTGATCAACACCCCCTTGTTATCATGTTCTCTGTTACACAAGCTCAACTTGATCTTTTTTTTTTTTTTACAACTCAAAATGTATTCTTATCCTCTCAGACGTCAGAACTGCCAACTCGGATCTATCATGATAAGCATGTGACTCTTATCTCAGTTTTTGAAAGTGATATCAGATTTAAAAAGAAGAGAATCAACAGTGAAACGCTTTCATGGATAGTTTGGACTGAGGAACAAAATAACATATGTGACCAAATGGGACCCTTCCAGCAGCTGCTCATCCCTCAAGCAGTCACACTGGTTTGTGAGCCAGGGACACAACAGAGAGGGGAGGAAATATGAGACAGTGACAGGGTTTGGGTTAGAAATTCTTATTTGAATGCTGCAGTTCATGCACAATTTTGTTAATTCTTGCAGTTGGAGCAACATCTTACTTGTGACAGACACGTTTTCTGTGTTTAACTGATTTTATTTTGTATTTTGGTCTGTTCTCTTTTTTTCTTTCAGCAAATACAACTGAATGACCCAAAGCAAGAGTTCAACAAACGTCCCACCAAGGCCCTTCCTCGCTCTTTGTCTCGGTCCATGTCACAGTCATCTAATGACAGCCTGAATTCAGGTAAAGACACCTCAAACAACACATGATGTGAAATCTGATTGTAAATATTAAGTGGACTGTAGTATTGAGCCTCTTTAGTGTGGTTGCTAATCTCACATATTGTAAACATACTGATAAATCCCTAATGAATGCATTTTACGTATGCAAGAAAATGGCTCCGGACTCCAATCAGGTTCATGTTTTCATAAGCTATGTTTTATTTCTGTGTAGCGGTGAGCAGCGACAACTCTGAGGGCGAGCTGTCTCCTCAAGACAAGCTGCAGAAGAACTCAAAAGGCCTGTCTGATTTCTGCATCAAAAACATCAAACAAGCAGAATTTGGACGCAGGGAAATAGAGATCGCACAGCAAGGTATTCGAAAGTTTGGATCCTAACAGAAATAAGAGAATTACTGAACAAGTATTATTTGGGAAATGACTAATCTGACAAAGCTTTCTCTTTAAGAAGTAACTCATATAATACAAATGGAATAAAATGCAATGAAACCAATCCTGTTGGTGTATGTTTTCCCATATTTGTGATATTTAGAAATGCCCGGGCTGATGATTCTGAGGAAAAGAGCGGGTGGGGAGAAGCCTCTGGCTGGAGCCAAAGTGGTGGGATGTACACACATCACTGCACAAACAGCGGTCAGTTCAACACACACACACCAACTTACATACACACACACACACACACACAAACTTTTAAAAGCTGGAAAAGCTCACAGGTCCATCACAGAGCAAACACACATTATACTTATAATTATAAAGTCATACTTTATAATACTAAGAATCACTGTTTCACCAAACATGCTTTTTTTTTTATGGAGAGAACACATACAGACACACTAACAAAGTTCTCAGCTAGGACTCAAACCGAACCGCCACACCACAGTGCAGCTCATGTTTGTATGTGTACATAAAAAACAACAGGAAATAACTTGGTGGATTGAATTTGACTAACGTTTCCAAAACTACTGCGAGACTGACTTATGAAGATTTATGAAACCATGTTTTTTTTTACATGACCGGTCACTTGCAATATGTAAACCAGTACTTCAGCACATGGGTGTATTTGAGAGAGCAGAATTCCACCTCTGAGCCTGCAGGGTCTGTGTGTTCTTGCAGGTGTTGATTGAGACCCTGGTTGCTTTGGGGGCTCAGTGCCGCTGGGCAGCCTGTAACATTTTCTCCACCCAAAATGCTGTGGCTGCTGCCCTGGCTGAAGCAGGTACAGCTCCATAACAACGCCCCCCCACCTGACCCCTCCGGTTGTGTCCTGACTTACTTTATCAGTCGGAAATAACACAGTCTTTATAGTATGTGCTCTTCACTTTCAGGAATCCCGGTGTTCGCATGGAGAGGAGAATCAGAGGACGACTTCTGGTGGTGCATAGACAAATGTGCTGCAGCGGACACCTGGGAGCCCAACTTGGTAGGAGATAAAAGCTCCTGCACACTTACAGCGCCAGTCAGCAGATGATTATTTTAACTTAATCAAATGTTGGTGTAGATTCTCAATCATCCAGGCCATCCAGCTTAAGTAAAGCTGGATGACCGACTGAATTATTTTCCATGATTGGTTTAATTGGAACCAGGACCTTTCTGTGTGGAATTTGTATGTTCTCCCTGTGTCTGCGTGGGTTCTCCGACTTCCTCCCACCATCCAAAAACCTGCACGTTAGGTCGATTGGACATTCCAAATTGCCTTTAGGTGTGCATGGTTTTTGTTTTTGTGTGGGCCTGCAATGGACTGGCGGACCATCCTGGGTGTCCCCCGCTCTCACCCATTGAATACTGGGATAGGCTCCAGTCCCCCCGCGACCCCATTTGGGAATAAGCGGTTACGATATTGGATGGTTGGATGTTTCCTTAAATTACTACTGTGGACTTGATATGAATAGCAGTGGCAGTGTCCTCATGGATGCTGTTCTTTTTTCAGCCAGTTTATGAAAACTTCATTGTCCTGGTTTTTCTTCTCGTCAGATTCTGGATGATGGTGGTGACTTGACCCACTGGCTCTACAGGAAATACCCAAGCCTGTCCAAGAAGATCAAAGGCGTTGTGGAGGAAAGCGTGACGGGCGTCTATCGGTTAGTTTGTCACAAAGCTGGAATCGAGTTGCCCGACGTCATTCTCCACCTCACGTGTCTGTGGTTCCTGACTTCAGGTTGTACCAGCTTTCCAAAATGGGCAAACTGTGCATTCCTGCCATCAACGTAAACGACTCTGTGACCAAGCAGAAGTTTGACAACCTTTACTGCTGCAAGGAGTCCATACTGGATGGGTAATGAATCACGGTGTGACGGTAAACGTCCATTAGAACATGTGCAGCGGTGACCTGACGGCTTCCAACTCCTCTTCTAGTTTAAAGAGAACTACAAACGTCATGTTCGGAGGAAAACAAGTGGTTGTGTGCGGATATGGAGAAGTGAGTGTGACAGAAGCCTAAGGTGCATCTTAAAAATATCTCGCATATGAGCGGGCTGTTGCCTTTGTCCTTTGCAGGTTGGTAAAGGCTGCTGCGCTGCTCTGAAAGCACTGGGCGCCATTGTATATGTCACAGAAGTGGATCCTATCTGTGCCCTCCAGGCCTGGTATGAAAAGAGGAAGCTTTAATCGGCGAGATCGGAAATGTCCTCCTTCCTCCAAATGTAACAAAACATGCTGAATTGCTATTTTAAGCCAAGTC